AGACGCTTGGCTGTATGAAAGCATTTCGTGAGATTCAAGGGAAGCGTGACCAGCCACAACCCAATACACCCACCCACGACCGTACTGAGACTTTGGCGTCGATGTGCTAAGTGACTGTTTTGCCTGCATACATCGCATTGGGCAGCTTTTCCAATTCAAGATTCAATCAAATACCGTTGGTGTACTACTCATATCTGTGAGTAGTATGTATGGATTATGAAAATAAATGTGATCTGCGGTTTCTCATCACGGTGAAAAATCAAAAAGATTTCTTAGAGCATATTAGTGCGTTCCAAATTGTATCTACAGGAAATACGCATCTATCCTCAGATTGTTCCATCAATAATCTGCATGCTTGTCCGAATTGTAGTTGAACGTTTTATTCTGTGATTCAATTTATCGATACTCTTATCGTCGTTCGTAATAAAAGATTCTCCTCGATCCGGAACTGACCTTTCACAATTGTCACACTGCTATTGGGGGTCATCCAATAATCACCATGTACTGTTCTGTTATCCCATTCCCAACCGAGGTACGGATTCGAGACCCCGTCCCACAAGCATCAATCCCCAGAAAACTTTCTCTCTGGAGATCAACGAACTCTCTGGACAAAAATTACCACTACGTCACAAGTTGCGCTCACGTGGTCAACTGTGCAACGAGAAAAAAATATCTATTACAATGAACCAATTGTGTACCATCGATAGACGATTATAGGGTGGCATCGATTCTATTTGTGTTCACTTTGATTTATTTCGCATAAACGGCTCATACACGTTTAACTCATTTCATTTAAATCATCCCCACAACTTTCATCCTGATCAGGAGAAAGAAATGAGAGAAGGAAGTGATCAAAAAATGTAAAATGTTTTTGTAATTAAAAAAAAGTGCAATTGTTCCTAACGTTTGCTCTAAATTCACGTTCGTAGGTGAAGTTGATGAGATGAAAACAATCCTTAGGGAAAATGGATACCCCGAAAGTTTCGTCGAAAGCAACCATTTAAGGATTTTCGAAGAAAAAGTTGTTTATCAAACAGCCATTCAAAGGAGTTGACCCGTCTAATCTGATTGGGAAACATTTGACGTGTGCTGGGAGAGGAACCTTCGATGCTTCCAAGTTGTCATGCGTATTCACAGGCTCCTCGATGATGAGAATTATCAATAAATACCGTTTTCATATACTGGAATCATTTATGGTTATCCACTTATCCAGATGTGTTTGGCCGAACGGCGATGCAACTGTCTCAGTGGATTTAAAAGCAATGCTCACTCGGGCTTCGACAAGGCGGGAAAGGTGTCCCAGGAAGCGTTATTCTCGCTCACCTAGCAGACTCTAGTCACCAAATGAAGCCTGAATCAGCCTTTAAAGTCATCTACTGAGTTCCACCTCATCCATCCAAGTCGCTGCGTTTCCACAATCCAGCCACTGCCAAGGTGATCGACATTCCTTTGTTCGTACTCAATCTATGTACACAGAAGAGATTGGCCCATTCCACTCAACTGCCATGGTCGAAGAGAGATCGCACGTATCGCACGTATTAAAACCTGGTTACGGTGTTGTGGTGACCTAGGGGTGTGATGTACGTCGCACCACAGCCCATTCCTCTTCGTCTCAACCAATCGCTATAACCTTTGAGTGACTGCATGACTATCCCCTGTTTTAACATATCACTTCCTTCGATGATCTGTACGGAGCTAGAAGATGAATCAATAAAATCAATTGTTCACCGGCGAAAGTGCATTCTCAACCAAATAATGCACTTGATTACAAACAAAAATGCATTAGCAGTTTGGTGGAAGGCAAATGTTGTGGCTAAAGTCGGCATAGATCCCCAATTACGAATTACAAATCGGGAATCGAGAATCACGGACACCGCAGAAGAACTGAATAAGCAGTAGCACTTTCACGCTGGTATCGCCCGTCACCGCGACGCAAGGAAAGGGCCACAGAAGTAGCAGTTCGTTTATTGGAAGAAATTAAGGAGAATAGATAATATGCACAAAGGACATTTATTGGTTATCCACGAATCCACCAATCGTCTGCTTGCATTCTAGACGCCATACAGTTTCTGTCTGGATCGCAAGATAATTTGATTGGCCTGTGGTTCGTTGTCCAGAAACTGTAACGCGTCACTTCTTGGCTGGCGTTATCCCGTAGGCTAGAATGTACACAGAAAATCGATCATAACCGAGGACAAAACAGATTTGCGAATCTGAATGGTATCATTTTGCCACCCCGGTGAAACGGTACATCAGACAACATTGCTGTGTGAAGGGTGACCGTCCACAGTATGGGATTAGTTGGATCGCCGGGAACGGCTTAGCTCAAAACAAGTTATTACCTGCCAGCAAAATGCGATCCGACAAATTTTCCGGTCCGGTGTGCAAAGCGCGTTCAGACGTTTGGGCAATACCTGTGAGTATGAGTATTTGAAATACATCTGGCACATATTTACGTCCGAAACAGGGATTTTGCAACCCTTTATTGTATCAATAAAACGTAAGGCTAGACGTCGGATTGTTGAACAGCGACTGAAGCAATCATAACGCCTTAGAATACACCAACACAAAGCCATGTTCTGTGTGAATCAATGAAAAGAGGATGAAGCACAGATGGAAGAAGGCTCCCACGAGTGATTCAAAAAGCATTTGGAAAGAGTCGGTGAACAAAGCCCCGGGGATTTGAAATGATTGGAAAACTGAAAGAGAGCCTCCAGTTGACAACCAGAGAGAGAGAGAGAATCAATAGGAATAAACACAACCGATCACGAATGTGGGAAATCTTTTTTTTCTCATAACGGAAGGATCGAGAAGCAAACTGTCCAATACGGCACGCGACAGAATCTTCTTATAGTTTATATCCTATTAAATCACGAAACAGCTTTCAAGTGGAATAGACAATGAACAAATCTATTGGTTTGGACCGAGAGGAACAGCCAAAGTGTGCCAGGGAGCGAGAAGGGGTTGTAGTAAATCGCAAGTAGCAATCACTACTAAGGGATGAAACATCCAGTGAATAAATAAATTATTAGTTTATTTTCACGTGATGGCATGGCGAAGAGAAAAGACTAAAAGTAATGGATTCCAACTGTCACCACGAAAATATTGTGCACCGAATTAGGTGTCTACTATAAAGTATCCTAAAAGAGTTCGCGTAATCCAGACTGTTGACCGATCAAACAATAACCTCTGAGATCTGTGAAACAACTTATCTGTCTGCATGTAGACAAGTGTTGGAGGTTTTCACTTTGTTCTCTTCATAACCCCAGATGGACGGTGAGTTCGTTTCATGTGCCCAGCTTTAACTTCTATTTTCACTAATCAGAAGTGCGCATGAAAGCGATTTTATGGATCTTAAAACTCTCATGACAGTTCACAAAGAAAAGATCACATAGGACATTCCGGTTGAGTAGAGTAGTGTGCTATATCGTGTAGGGGTTGCTCGAATATAATATGGCATGCTTAAGTTCTACCTGTCAGGTCTCAGGTTAGCGACCCTCAATTGGATTCGCGCACTCTACTGATGGAACCCAACCAGTTCGCAACAGAAGTCCACTACTTCCGAGGATTGTATTCGAAGATTTATCGGAATTCCGAAGTTCAAAATAGGTAAGCAAACCCTTCCCAAAAATAGATGGTTCCTTTAAGCGCCTGACAACGCCTGACGTTGAGATGAATTTGGTTTACAATTTAAAAATAGTACGATGGAGAATTCGTCCTCAATTGCAGCCGTGAACTGGTAATCGAGTATTTTATAATAGCAAGCTTGGATTAGCCCAACCAATTGTTAAGTGGCACCAGGCACTCTTGACGTTCTTGGGTGTATGTTTCATTCCATGAAACATCGTTAATTACCCACAATGACATGCGTTTACATGTGACGGAAATGTTTGTGATAAATGACAAAGAGCACTGGACAATTGTTTCATCCTGTATGTGACTCATCAGCAGTGCACGTACTTTTTCTGTCCTCATGTCACGACTCGAACCGCGAACGTTCGGGTTGGGACTTCAAACACTTACCCCTGAACTACACGAGTAACGGTCATCAACATGTACGAATGGCTCAATAAATTTAGAGTATCAAGCTTGGATTAACTCATTCGATTGTCTAGAGGTACCAGGCACTCTTGTTGTAATTGAGTAATCGAACAATTTTAAGCAAAGTTTGGAATTAACACATTCAACACACGGCAGCCTCAGCATTGAGCATAAAGCAAAATTTCATTTCTTGTAATCCAGAATAGATTCGATGTAAGATCGGTCCATCTGTCTCATTTCACTCACTGATAAGAACTGATCAATCTGAAGTAGCATCATCCCTTCTGATCACAAGAGCTACTTCTCATTCCCGTGAGGATAATCGTTTAGAGTTTAGGCTGGAAACTTGTCGGTTCAGATGGAAGCAGCCCACAAAGGGCAACAGGACAAAACACGATCACACGTTTACATCCAGAGAAGTTATTCCGATAGGAAAACACAAAAACATTGATGAAAACGACTAAAAATTCAAATCTGTCTATGGTCTTGGAAAGCAGCAGTTAGTTTCATTGATTTTGTAGTGAGGTGAAAATCATTCTTCGCAAGATTAATCAACTAGCTCCGTATGAGCATGAAGTTTGCAAACTGTACTTTGCGATTTGTCCTACGCTTAGATCATGAGAAACCACAATCCGTGTAAACTGTGGGAATAAGGTCTGTGTGTGTGTGTGTGTGTGGCGGTGCGGATAAAGCGTCCCGGTTGTCTCGCTCTTTCGGTACTACTACCGACTGGTTTCAACCGCGGCCCGGTCCGATGATTATTTGGTTTCTCACGTTCAAATTACCACACGTATTTTATTCACTCTCCTGAGGTTGGACAGAACTTCATTTTTGCTTTTTATTCGTTTTCTCCTATCCAACGTGTATCGAGATGTGATACACTTTGTATTTTATCTCTGACCAACGGGGTGACTGATTGTATTAGACGGGCGATTGAGCCTCTCCGGGTCTGTGTTCTCCTACGTATCTCCATGCTCACCTAACTCATCTATTGTAGAGTTTGAGAAATATAGGGGAACAAAAAAGTAAAACATACTTCGTAGAACAAAGATGTGAAAAGATAGACCCATGTGTGCGTTAGGGAAACGATATTCCTCATCATCATCATCATCATTATCATCATCATCATCCTCAACATCATCATCACCATCATCATCATCATCATCAACATCATCATCATCATCATCATCATCAT